TACTACTGCTACTACTGCTACTACTGCTACTACTGCTACTACTGCTACTACTGCTACTACTGCTACTACTACCACTCCTGCTGCTGCTGCTGCTGCTCCTACTACTACTACTACTACTACTACTACACTATACTGCTACTGCTCCTGCTACTGCTGCCACCACCACCACCTCCGCCGTCACCACCACCACCGCCGCCGCCGCCACCACCGCCACCACCACCACCACCACCGCCACCGCCAGCGCCAGCGCTACCGCCACCGCCACCACCTGCGACGACTGCCTTGTACCACGAATCTTCCGGCTGGTGCTGCAACTATGCACTTCTACTGCTATTGCTTCCAGCGGAAATTGTCACGACGAGTGCGGAGAATTTGCAAAGCAATGAAGATCACAGGCCAACAACACGCAACAAAGTAGAAAACTGAAGAAACTTCGACATCAGTACCCATGGAACACACTTACGCTGACGCTGCGGTCTTTGCCTCTCCTGGCTGTGTTCTGGGGACGCGCCCTCGGACACAACCGGAAGCGCCTCGAAAAGCTCAAAGCATGTTTTGCGGACGGACGCTGTGTTTCGCAAGTCTAGGTGCACCTTCATTGTCCAGGGAATCTTATCATCCAGCAGCTGAGATGATACGGGATCGAAAGAAGAATGAAGGTCGGAGACAGCAAGCCGTGCAAGTGAATGCTCCCGATTTGTCAGGACTGGCATCGACAGTGCTCGTGTGAGTGTACATACACACGCTTGTACTTTTCATACCGTTCTTACTCCAAGTTATCTATCTACCGATCCTTCTATCTACCTGTCTGTAAGTAACGATTTGGCACGTGCTTGTTTCGATTGGGTGATACTCACTGGAATCCCGTCCTTCAAGCCTATGGATAGTCTGCAAGCAGTGCTTTGATTCCTCTTCAATCCAGAACGGTTGTAGTGTCAATCTGGCGCTGTCATAAAGCCCGCGGTAGTTCTCTCCTATCTCGTAAGCATTTTTCTTGGCCTCTGTCACGCACACACACACACACGTTCTTATCTGTCACCTGTCTGGTCATCCGCTACCGATAGCCATCAAGCTATCACTCTTTCTATCCATCTGTTTGCAGGCATGTATAATTATGCGGTATGCATGCACATATGTAAGATTGCATGCATGTATCATGTACATATGCATGTATGTATGCTTGTATGGTTGGTCGGCTACTCTGCAGGGTTTTTGTGACATGCAAGGCGGTTTCGTTTCTACAGAGCTCTTTAAATGCTTTTGCCTGCCAGTTGACACATGGATTGGGCCTAGAAGGACACTTACTGTATTCCTAACCCTGCTGGTAGCAAGGTCTGCTGTTGAATAAAAGCTCGAAAAACCTGCCGTTCATGAACTAATCTTCCCAAGTCCTAGAGCCCCAAGTCCCTCCTTGCCTCGTCATCTAAATCTCAACCCCAAGCCTAGAAGCCCAAAACTGCAACCCCCCACCCCCCACCCCAACATGGCCCACGTGCTTAAACAGTATGCGACATCGTTGTGAGTTTCGGGCTCAAGTCTACTCCATACCGGTACTGTAGCGGCCTTCATAATTAGAATGTACACTCTACCATAAATATAGTAAGGAACCCCCAGAAAAGTATTGGTAATTACTTAGGCGGCTATATTGCCTCTACCCTTGGAGTACCAGTAGGAGCGATGAGATGCCAACTGCGCCTGTGAAAGGGACCTCTTCTTGCGCATCCTGGAAGCCATGATGAATCGCCGCACGGCAGATCCTCTCCTGTCACGGTCTACAAGACCCAACGAAACCGGAAAACCTGAAGTTCTTGTAGCTTGCGGCTTGTAGGTCCCGAAATTTTGAAGCTGCGCTCAATCCGATGGCTCCCTCCGAGGTGGCCTGGTCTCCTTGGTCCCGGCATCAGTCCGACGGCCTCGGGTCTGAATACCATGGGGTCAAAAAATTACATGAACGCATCTCTTTCCCTGTCTGCCGGTCTCTCTCTGCCTGTTTTTCAAGCAAGCGACCTGTAGTGTCAACCTAGCTTGCATTCTGTCCATGATTGTTGTATGTATGTATGTGAATATATATATATTTTTTTTTATTTATTATTGTTTAATTAATTATTTATGTATGTGCATATGTATATATATATATATGTATATGTATATGTATATGTATATGTATATGTATATGTATATACATATATGTAGGTATAGATGCATATATATATATGCAAAGACACATGCGTGCAGTATGTAAGGCGTGTGTGTGTGTATATATATATATATATGTATGTATTTGTGTACATATGTGGGTACATGTTTGGTGTACATATACATACATGCATATGTGCCTATGAATACACAGAAACAAAAACACATGTGCATAAATAAGTGCGTGTGTATGTGTGTGTATATATATGTATGTCTATGCGTACATCTGTTTATACATGCACATACACATTCACCAACATACATAAAAGCACCATGCATGCAGGCATGCATGCATAGCTGCATATGTGCATACTTTCAAACAAAAATACATACCGACATACCTATGTAGGTACGTACATTCGTCCGTTTGCGCCGTTCCATTCCATTCCCTTTCGCTGCAAATCACTCATCCCGCCATTGACTCAGTTCATTGATTCATTCATTCCCGGGTTCGTTCGCTCATTCAACCATTCCATTCCATTCCATATTTCAGTTCGTTTCATTTCATTTCATTCCTTTCCATTCACCCATTCACGCATTCACTCATTAACTCATTCAGGCATCCAGACATTCAGTCAGTCAGTCATTCACTTCCATTCCAACCATTCCATTCCATTCCATTCCATTCCACTTCATTTCATTCCATTCCTTCACTCACTCGTTCATTCACTCATTCAATCATTCAGTCATTCATTCATTCATGAATCAATCCATCCATGCATTCATTCGCTCATGTCATTCATGTCAGTCATGTCATTCGTTCACCACTTTCATTTCATTCATTACATTCGTTACATTCATCACATTCAGTTCATTCATTTCGTTAATTCATTCCTTCATTCATTCCTTCCTTCATTCATTCATTCATTCATTCCATTCATTCCCTTCATCTCAATTCAATTCATTTCGTTTCATTTCCTTCCTCTCATTTATTCGTTCGTTCATTCATTCATGCATTCAATCATTTCACTTCACTTCACTTCATTCCATTCCATTCCAGTCACTCATTCATTAGTTGTCTTTCTTTCAAGAAACATTCCAACATTCAGTCCTCAGTCAGTCCGTACGTCAGTCCGTCAGTCAGCCCGCGGGTCGTTCATGCGCACGTATATACATATGCACATACCTAGGAAGCTGGCTCTATTGTGATGCTGCATGGGATAAGTGGATGATCAACGGCCGACTACGAAGCCATAATGGTTGTTACAACTTTCAACTTAGAACATCCGTTCAAGGAGCAGGTATCACTAAAAAACAGATATTTTTACTAGAAAAGTCAATCCCGTGTGGATGAATCCGTGTACTGGCATTCATGCTGAGCGAGCATTGCCAGGAGAGACTCTGCAAGTTGAGTATGGCGGGGGGAGGAATTCTCCAGACTCCCCGGTGTAGCTGTCCTCTCGACTCTGCCCTTGCTGAAGTGTGCTGAAAGCATAGCCCAAGTCTCCGTGTTTCTCGGAAACCGATGAGCCTAAATCTCCAGCAAGCTATCCCTATTCCCCGACATCCTCCAACCGTACCCCTGACTCACAGCTTTACATAGCTGTATAATGTAGGGGCCTTAATAATTAGAATAGGGTTTTGGAAGGTCTATCATACTATGATCATAATATCTAGAGCCCTCAAAACCTTGTTCTAATTATTACACCTTATGGTAGGCTTTGCCAGCTGCTTCCAGCAGCTAAGGATCCCGCGCTTGCGCCTGGTGTCCTGCAACTCCCGCTTGGCGGCTTGTTCAGGTGGGACCTGGCTGGTAGACATTGGAGCTCTTGGGGTTTTAGGGAGCTGAGTTGAAAAGAAGTGTTGGGGGGGATGCTGAGGTTTTGGGCTTTCGGTGTTGAGTTTAAGAATCCTTCCAGGGATTCGGGCATTTTACTCTCGAGCCCCCACTCGGACAAGGATGGGGGCTCGATCGAGGGTTTCGCCCCAGTGTGGTGCGACAACACGACAACATGTGGAGGCAACCCGAACATACTTTATTATATTCTACTATATTATACGATGCTATATGATATGAAACTGTACTATGTTACCCACACTTCCTGAAACTCTGAACACCCCAAGGCCCCGAGGTTCTGAATATCCCAGCGCTCCTGGGGAAGAAATCGAACCTCTAGAGTCCGAACCCAAATTTAGGGCTTTGGGTTTAGGGGTTTAGGGGTTAAGGACAAAGGGACCAAACTTTGGAACCCTCCCCAAGGACCCACCAGCGGCCACTGAGAAAATGCCTCCGGAAGCTCGACCACCCCGTGGGAGCTTTCCTGCTCCTGCTCGAGCGGAAGATCCCGGCTTCGGGAGAGTTTATTTAAAGGAAAACCATAAGGCTCCCATAAGGTTTTTTAGACCTTCTATAAGGCTCCTGTAACGGTAACTACCCACCTGAAAATGTCCTAGATTTATAGGGGCCTTAATGAGTAGCATTGGCTTTTGGGGGTATGAAAAGGAACCCTACAGAATGGCAACTATTCCGGCTTCTACTTTAAGTCGTATTTGTACAAACACGCGATAGAAGTACAAATGTACAGGTATACGATCTGCAGTTATGGGAGTTCTTGGATCTCCATGGCGCACGTATGACTGCACCGATGCATACAAGCAAAGCTTGTTTTTATGTGCTGAGCCGTGCAGGCTGGTGCCCTGTTATCTGACTCGAAACACCGCACAAGAAACGCAGTAGCCAGCTGGAACCTGGAAGCAGCTCGCGGTACGAGTAACACAAAGTGCATATAATGTGATCACAAGGAAAAGCCATCAGCAATCCGGGCGGAATCCTGGCACCCTCGGTGTACCTCGCGGCCTTGCAACATCCGCCACACCTGAAACACCCGAAACATCAAGTCTCGATACCCATAGCCCTGGCTCTCAAAAACGACCGGCCTTACTTTCGGTCTTGCACACTGCATCTTCTGCACTCCTCGGCTGGCTTGTATCATGTTGAGATTTGGCTGATCGTTCAGGGCTCCCGGAACCTTCGAGATTTGCATGTCAAGGCTTTGCAGTTCTTAAACCAGGCCAAGGTCTACCTTGCATCTCGGAAGGCGTCACGAACCCTCAGCGATGTGCCTCAAGTACCGGCGAGTGGCCGCTGCATCGTCGTTTGTAAATATGTACGTCGCGAGCGCATCAGAAGTTGTAGTATAGAAAAATATGATATATGGTATACTGTAAGATATAACAAACACACATATATATAGTATATAACATAATATATTATACATGTAATGTATAGTCATCCTTCCGAGGCTCCGGGTGGCTTTCGCTGCAGCTTTGGCAGCTTCGGCGTTCTCTGTCACGTAAGCGATGATGACGTGCTCAACATCGGCCTTGGAGCACGTGCCTTCTGGTCCCAGCGGTTCGGCCATTGAACAGGCTTACTATGATATAGTATGGCAGAATCTGATATAATGCAATATGACATAGAGTGAAATAATATAATTCAAGATAACATGCTATCTTATGTCATAGTATATGATGGGCCTGGGTCTGCCAAAAACCTGACTTGCCAGGTGTCGCTTCGACGCCTCAAGGAAACCCACTGAGAAACCCCAAGCCTCCCTGCGTCAACGGCGACCTTGAACCCCAAACCGGCCCCAAACCTTCGACGGAAGCCTATCCGCTCCACCCTGTGGCTGGTACTAGGCTCCGTGGCCGGGGGTGTTGTGGTGGCCCTCCCTGCTGTCATGCAGTCATCATGGAACAGGAGCCGCGAACCAGCACCAGACTTCTCTGCTTAAAATTCTATTGAGTTTTGGTGCCTCCGAACTCCCACTACGACTTGCATCATCGCGGGTATCCTTCGAAACCCAACAGCTGAACCTGAAACCGCAGAGGCTCCCAAGCCAAAACTCCACGATATTTTTCCGGGTGGCTCTGAAACCATCGAAACGTCCTTTGCGCTTCTGCATGCACTCCTGCGCAGGAGACATCAACGTCCGGTCAGGATAGATACTCGAGTCTGCTTCTGGCTGGCGTTTTTCTAGCGTCAACAGCATCCGTGATCCCACAGGACTCGCCGAGCAGCCTGTGGAAAAGCCGGGAAGGTATCAGGCTGAAGACTTACAGATCTTACAATCGAGGCCATGCATGTCTGGGTGTCTACACGCAACTGTTTCTGCGTGGTAGCCTTGTACGTCTCCGAAACTCAAAGAAAACACATCCGATCATCAACAAAAGCAAAAGCCGTACCGACGCTGGCCATATAGGCCCTAGAATCTCCATTGTCGTTCTTTCTCTTGGTCTCACCAATTCCAGACTGAGGATCCCATGAGGTACCCAAACAAAGAAACTCCAATGGAGGCTTTTATGGGTCAACCCTCACACCGAAATCAAAACCAAACCCAACGAGCCGTGGATCCCGACTCAAGGGCCAGCACAGAGCCGGGAGAAAAGCCGTGCCTGGGAACTTCCAGGGGCGAAACCCTGTCAAGCACGGACCAAAGCTAACATGCTGTAGGGTTTAAGGCTACAGGAAAGCTCAAGAGACCTGTCTACTGGAAAAAAACCCCAAACCCTCAAAGCCGGAGCCCCAGGACACCCTGGACCCTGGAGTCGCGACCCTAAGCCCTAAACCCTAAACCCCTAAACCCTAAACCCCAAAGCCCTAAACCCCTAAACCCTAAAGCCTAAACCCTCTAAGCCCCTAAGCCCTAAACCCTCTAAGCCCCAAACCCTAAACCCTCTAAGCCCCAAAGCCTAAACCTCTCGAGCCTCCAGCTTTCTCAAGACTAAGCTCGTGGAGAGCTGATCGAAAGAAAGCTCTGGCCTGAGCTTTCCCAAAGGGCTCATGAGTACCATTAGGGTTTAGGGGTTTTAGGGGTTTTAGGGGTTTTAGGGGTTTTAGGGTTTAGGATTAAGGGTTCGGGGTTTAGGGTTTAGGGATTTAGGGTTTAGGGTTTAGGGATTTAGGGTTTAGGGTTCAGGGTTTAGGGTTTGGGGAGCAGGATCTTGGGAGGTATCTGGGCCCCAAGAGTGTGTAACAAAATGTTAGTTGGAGGCTTTTTTGTGTTAGGCCTTTAGTGAGGGGTGCGGCAGTAGTTGTAGAGCATCGCCGGTAGGGGGCGCGATGCTCGTGAAGTCTCGAGGCTTTGCGGTGTTGGCACTCTGAGAGACTATCTGCTGAACGAAAAACTGCTGGATGTAGCCGCCACACCTTCGAAAGCGAGTCCACATGAGAAGATTCCTCAACCCGAAACCTCGACAAATCTGCAATTCGATCGCACGTATTTGGATGCGCTTCGCTGCCTAATCGGCCTAGGAGACTAGTAGTCGCTTGCGACAGCGAACAACCTGCAGGTGTTAGCACGAACATCCTCGACAGCTTGGGCAGAGGCAGGATTGTCTCAAGTCGCTTCTTGATGACCTGAACCTGCATGCAGGTTGCATTTTTACGCGGTATGGCGATGAAGCCAGCCTCAGATGGGCCGTGCTGCAAAATGCATCTTTAGCTGGGATCCCAGAAGCCAGGTTCCGACAACATTAGTGTTCATCAGCGCTTGCTTTTAAAGCTGCTTTGGCAGCCCGAAAAACCTGAAGCCCGCAAACCCTGCATCTCATTCAGAAATGCCCAAATCATGCACCTAGCTTCGCACGCTTGATCTGATCGTGTTCAAGTCGGTGAGATGCAAGAGTTAAAGGCTAGGGTCTTGTAGAACCGAGAAGAGTTAAAGGCTAGGGTCTTGTAGAACCGAGCGGTAAGGAAGTAAGGATCTCGAACAACCAGCTCACCTTTGACTTTACATCCTACTGCGTACAGCACAGGCATTACCTCTAACAGACTTTATCATTGCACGCTATGTTGCATGCGACGAGACTGTTGCGAAGCCAATGCACCGAGATGACTGGCCTGCCGCTGGTGCAGGCTCGGCTCCCCCTGTGCTTCGCCGGTCCTGTCCGGCTGCGGTCTTCGGGTCTACACTCCAAGAAGCTAAACTGGCGCACCACGCAAAGTAAACCAAAATCGTTTCGAAGCACGAAGAGAAGGCAATGAATGCCCTACTGAGGCCCCACCGGCATGCTGCTGGTGAACCCAATCTGGCAGCATGCTGTTGAAGATGACTGCTCTCTGAAAAGCCTTTGCTCCCTACGTCAAGGTTTCAGACGCCATGGTAGCACAGTTGGGCACAGCTCGAACTTGCATTGAGATCTCTGTGTAGACGATTTCCTGTGCGTCTGTGTGCATGGGCATGTTCTTATCTTGTTGACCCAGGCTCCGCGTAAGTTTACTTTCTCAACCGTGAGACTTGCGACCGTTTCTCCTGCTACCACTCTGCGACTTTCGTTCATGAGTTCACAGGCGTGTAATTGAGCACATACACATATTACATTACATTACATTCCATTGCATTGCATTGCTTATTGCATTGCCGTACATAGCATAGCACAGCAGAGCATGACATAACATACCCATGCACGAGTGCAAGCACATACATGCATGCATGCATGCATGCATGCATACATACATACATACATACATACGTAGACACGCTCACTCATTGATTGATTTATTCATCCATTCGTTCAGTCATCCAGTCAGGCCGTCAGTCAATGAGTCAGCCAGCCCTTCATTGATTAATTCATTCGTGCATATGCATGCACCCATTCACTCATGCGTACACATGCACAGCACATATCCAAACGTGTAACAGAAGAAGCCGGTTCGCACTTGCCCATCAACACACAAAGTAGTCTCAAACCTCCTTCACATCAAACGCACCATGAGTTGTTATGCTGCAGAATCTACGAGGTCATGCTGTATGTGTCATACTGCTCTTGCACGACATGCCATAAGCTACCACATGTTTGTCGTTAATTTGCAACACAGCTTTATTTCGCGATGCCCGTTGCAGAACATTGGAGATGATCCTGTACTAGTGCTTCAGGCTGACAAAGCAAACGCGGCTCCTACCTCGCTGTATATCTAGCTGTGACCTCCTGTACGACGTTCCCGAGCACACCACCACCACCACCGTCGCATGATTCCCCGCTCCCTTCCCCAGAGCCCAAACCGAACTAAGACCAACAAACAGCTGTGGCCTGGCACGCTTTGGCTTCTGCTTCGAACTCTTGCCTCCAGTCGCGGAAAAGAATGTGTTGCTTTGTTGTTGTTCGTGCGCTCCTGTTCCGCCTTTGTTGCATCGCTGAAGATTCTTGGCTAGGAGGTGGCTGTTGGGGCCCTCTTTCCGGAAAAGTTCGAAGAAGGTAACATTCTACACCATCCCTTGCTTCGGGTTTAGGCCTTTGGGCTCTTATCATCATTGCCTAAACCTTCTGCACAAAGCAAGTCAAAGTCTTTCACCTGCAGGGTCCGCCAGCGGATCCGCGACCATTGTGAGAGCTTGGAGCCTTCAAACAAACACGATCAAAGACGGTTTAGGGTTTAGGGCTTAGGGGCTTTAGGGGGCTTAGGGTTTCGGGTTTAGGGAGACACAAGTGTAGGCAGTGTGAGATGTGCTGGGTTCAGGGGATCATGCACCATGCGATGTTGCTTGTTGCGCTGGCAGTGATACCTTAACCAGGACTTTTGTTTCGCTTCGTGCTCATCGACGTCACCACTACCCTGAGCACCTGATCACAAGTTCGTCCTCTCCTTCGTGCTAGCTCTCGTCCTGACCTTCCTGACCTCCAGTCGTCACCATCCTCCTAATGGACACACTATGCCATGGCTGCCACCTAGGCTGCCGCTTTTGCAGGACATGGCTGGTACCGCTGTTGCAGCTATTACCACTCCGACTGCCAGTGTAAGAAATACTTCTGGCATGTTTGCTGCTGATTCAAATCTGCACTCGCCCATGACGCTTTGTGTACTGACGTATACCCATCGCCACGACCGTGACAACAAGCATGTCCAGTTTACAGACACGCGCTCCAGATTTCGCTTCTTGCCCCTTGTTGCATGACCGCCGGCCAAGGACTGAAACCCCTAAACCCTAAACAGCAAGACCCTAAACCCAAAGTTGAAGTCACTGCTTTTCATCGAGTTCGCAGGCGCCTAACCACTTAACAAACCTTTCGATTTGTAGCCCGGCGCCTTGATTCAAAGAACCCAATACCCCTTACTTAAGTATTACACATTAAATGATAGGGGCCTCAATGTTTTGATTTAAGATATACCTTAAAACAAAAGAGGCCTTAATAGTATGATTTAAGGTATATTCCGTAATTAAGGGGTATTGGGCTCTCTGGGACCCTGAACCCCAAAGGCCAGAACCTGAACTTTGAACTGTACCATGAGCCCTGTACCCTCAACCACAGGACTCGGCATTTCGAACTCGTCGTGCAACTCGCTACGGCGTCAAAGCTCAAGTGATGCGCAAACCTATGGAAAGTCGTCAACTGCAGAGGACAGCCTCTTGGCTCAAGAACACCAGGAAACTGGGCAGAAAAGAAGTGTCAAGGGAAATCAACAGGAAAACGCTTCAGAGCCTTCGCCAAGCAATGCGCAACCTGGTTAGGCTCCCATAAACAAAGCATCCGGATAATATATTATTATGTGAGGTTTGGATCCCCAAACCGGCAAGCCTCAAATCCTGAAAGCTCCCTGCCTGGGCACCTTGTGGGCCGGAGTCGTAGCGTCACCCTCCTGTCAACACAGCAATCGGTCTCCGGCCCACAGACGAGGACATGTAATGTAATATATAACATAATATATAATATATAATCTATAATCTATAATCTATAATATATAATATATTGAATTTTAATATATAATATATAATATAAAATATATACTATAAAATACACTATATACTATAGCAATCATAATATATTATATATTTTATATGATTAAGAATATACAATATATAACATAACAAAGATACCATAAAATAAATTATATATAATGTATATGTGTATATATATATAACATTTAATATATAACATATAATATATATTATATAATTTGTGATGGATAATGGATAATGTATAATGTGTATATATATATATGTATACTGACCCTCCAGAACAAGGCCTTGGAATCTTCTGCCGGCTTCGTCGGACTCCTGCGAAGCTGAGCGCAGGACAAGCACCAACCTAGAACTTCCGTAAGACACGCTGACAGAGACATGCTGCTACACGTTTTTTCCATATGTATGTATATATATATATACATACATACATACATACAAACATACATACATATATACACGCATGACTGCACCGGTGTGGCTGCCGTGCCTCTTTGGTGCGGCTGGGCGCACACCCCTCGGAGCAAATGGTGATCTCTAGTAGCTCTGTATCTCTTGCACCAAGCTAAGTTGCTGCATCTCCCAAACTAAAGAAGGCAATACAACAACAAAACCGCCCAAAGCAGCGAGGACGTCAAGCAAGTAAGGATCTTGCGCATGTTCGCGGTCGGCCGGCAGCAGCTTCTTTTCCATGTTGTACTTGTACCTCGCAGTCTATGGACCCAACGGATCAAAGACCACAGATAGCCGGGACTGCATCAAGGAATGCACACATCCAGACTCGTAGACAGGTGATGAACTATACGCTTACACCTGCATGTGTGCAATTTTGTAAACACATCCAAAACCTGTACACATAGACGTATGTATATATATACATATATATATATATGTGTGTGTGTATATATATATATGTAAGAGTATGTGTGTGTGTGCGCGTGTTTGCACACACATGCACATTAGGAACAGAGGTGGAGGCAGAAATGAGCATGGATGCTGAGAGCGAGAGAGGGAGAGGGAGTCAAACAGAGTGGGAGCGGTGCATATCCATATACATACTACAGATAGAATCAGAAAGGCAGAGAGGGAGAGAGAGAAGAAACAAAGAGCGAGCTAGAGACAGAAAGCTGCTACCGAACGGGGAAAGCCAGCACCAAGCCCAAATGCCTTTACCACCCTCAGCCTTAAACCCTACGTCCTCAACCCTAAATCCCAAAACCCCTAAGCGCTACTCACTACTCCCTCAACCTTAAACCTCTAAAACCCTAAACCCTAAACCCTCCAAGCCCCTAAACCCCCGAGGCCACGGCAGCTTGGAGAAGCCTCGCTCCTGCACCAGGAGGTACACGAGCCCAGGCCCCGAACCCCGCCTGGCAAGGGCTCTTGAAAGCAAGGGTTTAGGGTGGCGCTTCAGGGATGTATGGGGTTCAGGGCTTTTTAGGGTTCAGGGGTTTAGGGGTGTTAGGCATTGCTAGAGGCCTGAAAGGGCTTCCGGGGGTTTTGGGGGAGCTTTTGTGGGTTTGCGTAAGGTACGCATCAATAATGCAAGCCTGAACATTGGCGTAGGAGACTTTCCGGAACGATGCCGCATGGGGTTCGGAAAGGCCTGGGGATCTGCTCTACAGGATGCGCAGCGATTCGTATCTGTAGGACGTAGGGTCTGGACTAGTTCATGGTTGGGATAGTCAGTATTAAAACATGTAAATTTCCGTTCCTTATTGGATTAGAGTTCTCCAACTTTGACAAGGTGGAGGCCCTCGGGCTTTGGGTTGGGCTGACATCCGTATATACGTAATGTAAAGAATCACGATTTAAAACAAACAGCCAGCAAGAGCACGGATTTGAGAAGGGCGGCAACCCCACCTTTAGGAACCAGAAACGACGTAGGTCACCCATCAGAGTTTCCTGTTTCTGTGTCACAAAGACGATGATGATGATGATGAAGATAATGATACAGCTTCTCCCGCAAGGGCCCCCCTTTGGAGCTTAAGGAGACTCTACACCCTGAACTCCTTAGAGCGTTAAACGCCTCCCGCCTTTGTGGCTTTCGCAAGCGTTGGCCAAGGCCGATCACCTCTTCGGGAGGGAAGGTAGCGTGGTCAGGGTTTGACGTTTCGAGTGTCGCAAACGGACAAAGTTTCGGGTTTCAAGCTGCTTTCTGCCATATTGCATCTTTATTGGGCTTGTTTCTTCTGTGGGACTCT